CACACACACACACACATCCTCTCACACACACACAGTCACACACACACACACATCCTCTCACACACACACAGTCACTGCCTCTCACACACACAGAATCACTGCACACACACACACACATGTGATTGAGATTCCGGTCGAGGCCGGTTGTCGCTCGTCTTCTGAAGTCCATCGTTCTTATATTTTTTCTCTTTCCTCTTGTCGTCCATTGCCAAACGTTTACTGAAGGGGAGCTTGTGAACTTTGAGCAAAGATCATCTTATGGTCAAATCTAGATGCAATGTGAAACTAACGCAATACAACCTGCAGGCCATAACTACAGTATCTATCTATATTATATATATATATGCATATAGATACGACTCAGCACGGCAATGGTGATGATGAGGATGATGTAGATGAGAAAGAAGATGGTGATAGTCAAGATGAAAATGACCACTATTCTGATTAGGAATTCTTTCATTCTTGTTGTTGCTTTGCTTATCTCCCCAAGCCCGGAATCTCAGAGCCAAGCGGTTCTCGGAATGCCCAGGTGCACATGGTTGGCCCATCCGAGGCGCTCCTTTGGTCTTGGACTACTTGCCAGGGCGCTGTTGTTCGGGAACCTAATTCAAGTTCCCGGTTTTGTACGGCTTCCATTAGAGGGTTTTCTCGGGCCGCACGGGAAACTTTTTCAGGAGTGAAGTTCCAGCAGCAATGATAAAGAGAAGCACTTAGTTCTTGTCATTTCTTGTCACTGTATACACCTACTATATATAGCAACTTAAGTAACTTGTTTAGCTGGAGCGCAGCTTTTGGGTTTACGTCGCGAAAGGCGCACGGAGGAGGGCTTCAGATTTGCGAGTTACATGGGGTCATGATGCCCACTGGAATCGCTTAAAGAATCCCTGCGACTCAAGAGTTCTGGACATGTGACAACCTAAATTAAACCGAAATAAACTTTGAAACGAAACCGACGCCCTATAATCAAACGAACTTGTGAATCCACCCTCACCAAATCCCGGGGCCAAAAACACCTTTAGTACAACTTTAAATGGGGTCCACAGGGTCTCAAGAGGAAGCGCGTGCTCACAATCCTGACCTGAGCTCCTCCTCCAAACTGCAGGCACTGCATGCCTCAGGCCTCAGGAATGTACTGTAGGACTGCAAGCACTGCGGGAAGCAGGAGGCGCAGGAGCGTGGCCGAACGAAGGGTCACGCCGCTGTGCGTTGATTTTACCGCAGCAGCCGCAGCCAGAGGCACCATTCTCGTCAACATCACATCAGCATGATCATCACCATGATGACCATCATAAAAATAGTCACTACCAGGATACTCCCCGCAGCCACCACTTGGCAAATCTGAACTCCTGCACCGCGAACCTTTGACGTTCTGAGCCCCGAACTCCCAACTTTCGGATTGAAACCTACATCCCCAACGGCGTTTCCTGTGAAAGCGTTTGGTACTACACTCGCCAGCCTCAGCTAAATAGAGACAAAAAGCGAGGTGGGGCGTTTGACTTGCACTCTTCCTCAAGCCTTGCACAGAGAGAGAGAGAGAGAGAGAGAGGCGGGACCATCCCAGCACAGCAGAGACCGCCCGGCCGAAATGGTGGAGGGGGCTGCGCTGCCGCGTGGGTTGACGGGCCTGCACCTAGCTTAGCTCTAACAGCAAAGCAAAGCAAAGAGGGAGAGCCTTTGTTGTAATGATGGAGTGTCCACAAAGTGCGAATCTTTCAAGCTGCCTGCAGACCCTCGCGAAACGTGAACCGACAAACGCTAAGCGGACCGCCAACCAAAGCGCGTGCCTCCACCGGGGGCTTCGCCCCTAGGCCCTGTGAAAGTAGGAGGGGAGGGAGGGAGCGAGAGAGACAGAGAGAGAGAAGTTGGGGAAACCTATGAGGCGAGTTGTAATTGTTTGCTTGCTCATTGTACCGTCTTTCGCACCGTTCTTTGACGGCTCACCTCTGCCTTTCTGGAGTGCGCCGAATCAATAGCTCGCTCCCCAACTGTCGGGGGCGCTGACGCGCGCGGGTGAGGGGGGCTTGTCCTCCCTTACCCCTAGCCCCGGCGAAAGAAAGAAGTGAGAGAGATCTGGAGAGATGGATGGACGGATGGACGCATCGGCGGACGTGCGGATGGAGGGATGGATGGATGGATGCATGCATGGATGGATGCATGGATGCATGGATGCATGGATGCATGGATGCATGGATGCATGGATGCATGGATGGACGGACGGGTGGATGAATGGATGGACGGATGGACGGATGGACGTACGGACGGACCTGCGGATGGAAGGATGGATGGACGGATGGACAGATGGATGGATGGATGCATGGATGGTTGGATGGTTGACAGATAGGTAGGGCAGCACGGGTTCGAACAAAAAGCTAGGTCGCTGAATAGGTAGACAGATGGAAAGAGAGCTGCTTGTATGGGCAATGGAGGCCGACACCGGCAAACAGATAGAAAGAAGCAGTACGGGTAGATGTACAACACACAACACACCACATACACCCCCCTCTATCTCATTGATGAATACTGAACCTCAAACCCCCATACTACTGCAAATCCTGAACTCTTCTACATGAAGAGGGGCACGGGCGATGCCGTGCAGAAGGTACCGGTGACGATGAGGCGCCTAATCGGCTCTGATGAACTTCTCCCGGAGGCTTGCGGGCTGAAGGTCCGAAGTTGCAAGGTTCTTTGTTCATGCTATGCAATCGCCCTCAGTTGTGGCACTTATTTTACATTTGCGCAGGGAGTATGATTTCTCTAGCATTCAGGTGCGTGTCACACATACTCAATATGACATGCATGCATCGTGCCTGCATGCTGTCGCGTTAGAGCTCTTTAAACTTCGGCAAACTGTACGTGCATGTGAAATCATTCCGGATGCTTGGCCTGAGCGCACGAGTCGCTAGTCACCCAGTACAGCAGGTCAGTTGGCAAAAGGGTTTTGATGGGCGGCACAGGATGTTGTTTTGGGGCTTCCTTGGTGTTCTGGCGTGTAGTAGTAGAATTTTCAGTAGAGTTTAGGTGTTGCCGTGCAGGGTTTGGAATATTGTGGGGGTAGGTCTAGATTAAAGCCTTCTTTTGAAGGGTTTCCAGGGCTCTGGATAGCTTGTGGAAGAACTGCCATTTTCTCGAACTTTGCCTGTGAAGTGAATGTAGTGGGGTTTGAGGCCGGGGGCGTGTTGACATGTCATGTAGCTTCCACATGAAGCGCCAGAAAAGCCCCCCTCCCTGCAACTTCCCACGTCCGCCAAGACCTTCGAATTCGGCGATTTCAACCAGCGCCCGTACTTCCAACGTCTCAGCCCGAGATCTCGATGCAAAACCAGGAGTACGGAGGCACCGCACGCCCATTAGCGGCACCGACAGAGGCGCGCACCGTGGTGGACATGGCAGGCCCGCAATTCTGAGCATTGGCATCTTTGGAGTTCGAGGGGGAGGGTTGGTATTGGGCGGTGGGTAGGGGGATGGCATTATCAGGTAAGATAGGTAAGTTCAGGTCACTTCCGTCGCACGGTAGTCTTTCAGAGGGTTGTCGAGTGCGTAATGGGACCTAAAACCACAATCCTGAAGCCCAGAAGCGAAGAGCACACATGCTCGAAAAATGAAGCGTAAGGTTTCTGAAGAAATTGTTGTATATGCCGGAACTTGCGAAACCACAGCCCGAAGGCCCATACCTTCTACCCGAGAGCCCAAGCCCGAAATCCACAAAGCTCTTAACATAGAAGTTATCACACCAGCAATGTAGGGCCAGGGCCCGACACGAGTACACGATACCTCGAAGCAGGAACCATGCCAGGGTTCCCTGTCATTGCTCATTGGCTTACGGTTTCGGGTCAACCCCAGGCTGGGTGATGTCAAAGAATGCATGCTGCCAGGGTGAACCGGGTAAGCTCCAAGTGTTCGGCAATCATGCCTCTTCCCAAGCTTACAGTGAAGGACGGTTGGCTGCGTCCGCCTGGGACGCCCGATCGCAGGGGAGACCTTTTTTGTGTTTGAGGCATTGGTTTGACGCGGTTTGGATGACATTTTTCGGTTTGGTTTATAAGGTTAGTGTATATTATTTGAATGACATTGTTTTCCACTTATTGCTATTACAGTTATGAGTTATGAGGGTTTAGCGTTACGGGGTGCAGAGTTGCGGCGTGAGTTTGCGACCTGGGAGATGCAGCATGTTGGGAGGGGCTCCGCGGATTCCGTCCTAGGCTGTTTGTCGAGGTTGCTCTTTGGGCTAAAAACCGAAACTTCCGAGTCGCAGTCCTTTTCTCTTTCGGGTTAGTTTCAAGGCCTTCTGTTGGTTTTAAATATTGCACTGCCTCTCGTAGAGAGATCGCATGTTTGTTTTGATAAGGGTGCGGAAGCACCAGCCGGGAGCACAATGCCATGTGGACACTGGCCAAGGCTTCAGCCACTCCTACTCAGAAGGTCTTGTCTTTATCGGGGCCTCACGGGCACAGGGTCTGCCCGTGAGATTCCAGCACGGGGGGCTCAAGAATCCTGAGTCTTCGGGTTCGTTCGGTCCCAATGGCGGGCTGACAACGCCCTGAGCGTGCTTGCACCGTTGATGGTAGCCGGCTGACAAACGTACAGCGGGCTTCGTCACTGATTGCGATAGCGATTCTTGCAAAGCATCAGGGCGGTTGGAGTTAGAGGCGATGCTCCAACTCCAGAGCGCTGAAGTATCCACGAGTTCGACACAAGAGGTTTGTGTCCAGACTTCATTGTCGGAATAACGCGTTGGTCAATACTGCAGGACCGTAGGAGTTTTTCGCCCAGGGTTGGGAAGTTTGAGGGTTAATTTGGAAGTAGGAGTTGTGGAAATAAGGGTGTCGGGTTGTTGCGGTGTACTGCCTCGCTCGAGCATAGGGTGTATGTCCTCAAGATGTCGACAATGGTTGAGGGCTAGGACTGCCCTATCCCAACACTATTTCCACATACCTCCATCCAAGAGCCACAGCGATTTAAGCCTAAAGCCATTAACTAGACCTTGGGCCATGAAGGACTCAACCCTGAAGGCACTGTCCATCCAAACTACAGCAGGGGTCAGCTGAAGTCCGGTTTAGTTGCCTTTGCAGGCTATACGGAAGGATGTTTGTCAGGTATACGAATTCTCGGAACTCCTGCACGGGCGTGCTTGGGGTCCTGGAAGTGGCCGTGCCCAGCCAGGCAACTAAACCGCAAAGCCAAGATATCGAGGACCGCATGGGGGCACTGAAAAGCTTCGAGGAGCGGACAGCAGTTCGACCGCAACATGAGTGGTAGAGTTGGGGATTTAGAGCTGAGGGTTCGTGGTCTCGGAAGATAGGTTGCGGCCTGGAGAGGGGAGAGAGGCTGCGGGAGTTTGCGAGGGGCCTGGCTTGTCCGGACTTACTCCCATGCAGAACTGCTCTCTCTCTGTCTGTCTCTCTCTCTCTCTCTTTCGCTCGCTCTTTCTCTCTTTCTCTCTCCCTCTCT